TACAATACATGGTAAATGGTAATGGTACGTCATCACTGTACAAATAATAGTGGGACAGCGCGGAGTTTCTTTTTTTTGGTTTTTTTGTCCAACACAACGAAAACCCATCTCTATCCGCAGAGAGGCGCGTACACTAAATCCATCTATATAGTATTTTTTTTTTTTTCCGAATTCTCGATGTAATCAATGTGTTCCAGTTTTTTTGGAGTGGTTGTGGTGACCACCACGTCGATCAAAGTGCAAAGGACACACAGCACAGCACAGCACACACACACATTGGCGAGAGGGCGAACGGGACACGGGCGGGAGGCTGCTGTGGCTGCATTGCGACTGCAATGCTGAGGCCCGCAAGCGTCACCACAACCGACGGCGTATGCTGGTGAGAAAGACGTGTAGATCTACTGCTCTCTCACACAGCAGCAGCATCAGAGCCTGCTGGTACACAACAGTTCTTCTGTGTTCGAACGGTTTTTGTTTTGCGCCGCTTTTCTCTCATCTGCTGCAGGTAGTAAGCAGCAAACCGCTACCATTACCGCTGACCTCGCCTACTGCTGTAGCGCTCCCGCGGACACGGCGTTGTTCGGTGGCCGCTTGTCCTTTTCTCCCACATCGGATAGATTGACTACATATTGGATACACAAGCGGATACCAGCCGCCTTACGCGTAGGTTGGCTTTTTCCGACACCCAGTTTGCCAGCAGCACAAGCACACGAGACGGTTTACCTGCCTACCAACAGCAGCGGGAGCTTAGTAACACCAAAGTTCAGCCACCTAGCTGCAGTACGCCTCCCGCTGTGGACCGAACGGAATTATTCATCCCCCTGCGGATTACTCTGTGTTGGTGTTGGAAAGTATGTAGTGTGCTGCCAGCTTTTTTTGGCACGTGGAACACATGTCCCAGGCGGCCTGCTCATCGACGCATCAGGCACGTCGCTCCGATGTCGTCACGTATCGAAAGATCGTGCGCAGATGGTGTGTAGTAGATCGTAATGGGCAGCCGGCTAGCGTTGTTGGTCGTCAAAGCACTCCGGTAGAGCATGCAGAGAGGAGGGAAGCAAGCGCAGGGAGCAACCGGAGTGATGCAGAACAGCAACAGCAGGAGGGGCAACATGAAGAAATCGTCGCTGTCCGTTGGCAGCTATGCCTTGCTACATAGATTTTGTACAGCACAGCTGTTTGTCTGACCACACAGTAGGAAATGTTGTTTCTGTATGCAGTTCCTTTCCGATGCAGCACCTCTGCTGCTTACCGTGGGGTCGCGTGACACGCACACACAAGACCACACACAGCCCAAGCCAACGATCTCTGTCCGTGCAATATATATATATTTGTTGCTCAGGCGATGTTGTACAGCAGTTCTTGTTGTCGTTGTTGTTGTGACTGCTGTTGCGGTCTCTACTCAGTACCTCGTATGTAATGTCGGTACTGGTCCAACTGCTGCGGACGCCTTCCGTGGTCACAAGTCAACTGCCCCCCATAGGGGGTGGGGTCCGCCTTTCAGTACAGCAGTAGTATCGTACATATCCCGCAACTTGTTTCTTATTTCCTGGGTGACCATACATATATGATATGCTTGTATACGAGCGCCACGTCCAAAGCACACCTCCCACATTGCCTTGGGCAAGAATAATCACTCCGCCGGCGGTAGTATTACAAGTATAGTGTTTGGCATTCGTTGCTCTTGCCGTCAGTTGAAAACAGAGTTTCGGCCTCTATTGTCCGCGACCGTATGCGTAAGTATGCGTGCACTCTCTTTGTGTTGTACTGCTGTCCCCCCCCGTCAGTCCGTAAGCCGTTTTCGGAGTAGTAGCCTGGGATGACAAGTTGTTGTGTTTTGCTCTTGTAGCTTTCGGTAGTGCTCTCCCTCTTTTCTCGCTGTGGTCGTGTCATCTGTCATGCGCGCTTCGGACTTACCTGGTGCCATTTTTGGCGACGAAGAGATTGAACAACACGACGGGGAGAGGGGGGACAGCAGCGGCAGTAGTGAGCAAGGCGTTTGTCGATTTCCACGCGTAGTTAATTTGTGCGGATGCCTCTAAACCTACTATTTATGTATGTATCAAACTCATTTGTTCGAAAGGCACGTACGTGCGGGATTCTTGGGGGACCGGAGAGGCTATTATAGTTGTGGGTCCAAGTTTTTACAAGTTTTTATTCTTCGTAATTGGTTGCAGCCAGTGTTTGCAAGCCCAGAATAGTAGTTTTGTAAAGTCAGGTGGTTCACGTATGTTGCATGTTTGCATATGTGTGTGCATCAGGTAGCGTATTTATTGTTAGCATCGACCGCGCTAACCGGCTGACCAATGAAAAGACGTCAGTCTCAGTGCGGTGGAAAACACGAGACACTTGTAAATGCCCTGAACTGGAACCCCTTGAGATGACGGCATGGGGGAGGCTGCGCTATTCTACGGATTAAAGACAGAAACGGTAGCAACAGAGGAAGAGTGCACCTGTCTACGAAGGCTGCTAACTTGCACTCTAGTTCGTTTAGGAGTGCTTTCACCATCATCCTCCTTGCTTTCGCCACCATCACTCTAAATAATGGACATTTTTACCGCTATTTTTCGGCAGATCTTCTATAGCCCTGCGTCGTTTGTTGCGGGGAAGGTCATCTGGCTCGAACCCCTTGCTCTCTTCCACTCCATACTTCCCTCCTCGATTCCTGTTGTGTCTTGGTTGTTCCCTTGTCCTCCC